GTAGTTTCCACACAATGACCTCAATTTTCTTGTTAAAATAACAGGTGCACCGAGAATGAAGGGGGGCGATTGTATGGCTGGAGTGGGGTGATAAACTTTTGAAATAGTGGCTGACTGTGGTCAGAGTGAATGATTAGTGGATGCTATTGAGGAGCTAACTCGGATTAGAAAACCATAAATCTGCAGAGTGGATTATTTGCTCCTGGAGGACTCTTGCGCCTGGGTGTAAGAGAAGAGAAGGTCCACTCTACTTTGGATTGAAGGTTGCAGGTACTGTGTGAGAAAGGACAGGCTGTAGAAATATAGACAGTAAGCTGCTGGTGTCCAAGCTAAAATTCAAGCAAGACTCGGAGAACATGGAAAGATCCAAGTCTCCCTGAATTCAAAGAAAAAGAAGTGACAAGAAAAGGGTTTATGTCATTTGAACCTAGCATCACTTCTGACTTAATCTTGTTTTTACCTTATTTTTCCCATTTCCTAATTTTCCTCACTTGCTTTATATCCACTCGTTATTTTGTAAGACACATTTTAGGTACAAGGCCAGGCAAAAGCAAATAAAAGGAAACTAAAAGCTCACAGAGGTGAGTTTCATTTTGACAAGAGAAGCTGTCGAGTGTCTCAGTTGAGGTTTAATTGAAAACAAGATGCTGAAGGTGTTTTAGGAGGCTTTCTGGTTGATAGGGAGTGGATGTTTATTGAGGTTGTGGAGGTTAGGGTTTGTTCAGCAGTTCTCATCTTGGGGTAATTTTGTCCCAAGGGAACACTAGGTAATGTCTAGAGACATTTTTTGGTTTTCCCAATGGGGGTTGGAGTATTCCTGGTATCCCCCAATGGGGACTGGAGCAGCAGGGATGCTACTGATCATCCCACAGCGCACAAAATTGCACCCACAACAAAGAATTATCTGATCAAAATGTCAATATTGATGAGGTTGAGACACCTGGATTAGTTAAACTATTTATAAGACTGACAGAATATTGAGAATGGTAGGAAATCATCTGGAGAACCACTGAAGAAAGGGGGAGGAGAAGGACTGACTCAGGGCATAGGCATGCCAGGTAATGTGGGATTCACAGCTGTGTATTTTTGGGTGGTGATTTGTGAAAGGATGGAAGAGTCAGTCCACGAGGAACTGGATTTGTGGTACAAATTTGTAAATGATTCCTGGGTTTAACTATTATAAAGCAAATATAGGGAGGATGAAAGTAAGGGAATTTAAATTTCCCACTTGCTTTTGAAAAGTCACATTTCAGTTACCCTTAAACAAAAGAGCTTCTAGCTCTTTCCTTTGAAGTTTCCAGATGAATGCAACAAAGATTAATACTGGTTTGGAAAGAATTTATCTCTGACACTGTGACATTACGTAAGTCCTTGTTATATGCAACTGATAAAGCACTAAATTCTACCCCTGAAACTAACAATACACTATATGTTAACTAAGTTGAATTTAAATAAAAAATTTAAAAAAACTAAAAATTTTTTATTTTTTTTAAAGATTTATTTATTTATTTGAGAGAGCGAGAATGAGAGAGAGAGAGTACACGAGAGGGGGAGGGCCAGAGGGAGAAGCAGGCTCCTCGCTGAGCAGGGAGCCCGATGCGGGACTCGATCCCAGGACTCCGGGATCATGACCTGAGCCGAAGGCAGTTGCTTAACCAACTGAGCCACCCAGGCGCCCAAAAAACTAAAAATTTTTAAAAAATATTTTAGACAAAGGAAAAGAAGATGTCCTTATTTTTCTCCATAGCCTTCCACCAGTCCTCTGCATCTCTCATGTTTTCTTTTCTTTTGGTTTTCCCAAAGCAAATAGTACCAGTTGCCTCTTTTGGTCAAACTCATAGAGCTGACTGTCTGTTCTGTTCACACTACATGTAATAAGTATTCTCTTATTTAATTAAAATAGACTTTCTAAACAAACAATTGTGACCTTCACTGCATCATTCTTGTAATACTCCAATACTGGACATTTATTTACTTTACATGATAAGCTGTTTAAAACACCTGCCTTTTGGAATACTGAAGGAGTTGCAATATTTATTAGGTTTTGAGACCTCCTAATCCAATTTTTGTTTATTTGGATGATTAGATATTCTTTTCACTTATTAACTTCTTATTAACACTGAAAAAGAATTGATTTAACCTCTTTTTCTGCATAGCAAGTTGGCTAAACCTTTTAATTCTATCCAGTAAAGTCAATACTGAATAGCTTTTAGGATAATATCAATTTATGTGATACATTCATCTATAGTTTAGATGGGTTGCAAAAAATGCACAGGTCATCTGGGCCATACACACCTCCAGATTCCTGTGCTCTGTACTTTATGTTTCTTAACATTTCATAGAAAAATTCCAACCAGATTACCATCAAAAGAAAGTTGATGACTCATTTGCTGATGATCACAAATAGATGAATTTATTTTAATATCCAAATCTCCATATATCTTCTACTAAATGTACAAAGGAAGGCAAGTGCCCTTTAAAAAATTAGTACTATGGGAATGAGATGGTATTTAAATAATTCCCTTCTGTCTGTAGTCCCAGTACTTAGAGCTCTCCTAAAATGATAATAAGACTGATGATGAAAAAACAGAAAGACAATTATATAGAGCTTTTTAACACAATGTGTCATCTATATGTATTGACATAGACATCTGTAACTACTTTAGGTTCATAATATTTATTCAGTTCAAAAAACTGGATTAATTTTCTCCCCTACACAGATGAATAGTTACAGCCTCTACCCCTTTAGTAAGTGATTGGACTACTCCATGTTCAATTGTACCTTTCTTTGACCACATTTTATGTACATGTAGTAAGTGTATTATCATTTTAAAAATACATCTTTTCCTTCTGCTGAAATTAAGGAAGACAAGCACTAGTTATTTTATATACATTAACAACATTTATTTTAAAAATGATGATTTAGAAAACTTACCAGTAGGCATTGTATTTCATCACATTCATTTTCAGAAAAGTTGGCACTATTTGGGCAAAGGTAGTATCTATCTCTTTTGTGTAAATTATGCAGTACTAAGTCATTAGGCTTATTTTAAAATTTCATCCCTCTACATTCTCTATTCCCTTTCCCTTATAGCACTCTAAGCACCTAACATAATATATAATTAATTTGTTTGTTGCTTATATATTTTCACCCTCTAGAATGTAATTTCCACAGAGGCAAGGATATTGGTGTATTTTATTCACTGCTGCTCCCATGCACATAGTAGGCACTTGATAAATAAATATTTGTTGAATAATTGTAGTTGTTATGTAAATTAATCTAACCACTTGTCTAATGGCACAATTAAGCAAGAGATGTCTTCACTGACTTTTCAAAAAACAATTTTACTATTTTTAATGACTTGATTTGTTTTAACTTCTTCAGTTATCCCCTTCTTAAAAGCTTTTCATGAGAAGCACAGTGCTGTGCGGTGCCATTTCAAGCAGTCTGGACTCCCACACCACTGCAAATTCTTTACTCATCCAGCTACTATTTGCATGTGGATCCCTTAGAGGTTTATAGCGTTCAATCCTTTTCAAACCTACATACATGCCTTTCTAGGTCGTTGGGGAAATGATTTAATTCTCTGGTGAGCTTAATAAAGAAGTTAAATGTATTGGAATAAAAATAAAGAACACCAAGTAGGCAATGCTCACCTTTGTTCTTTTCATAGGTGTTTGCATTAACGACTTCCTACAATATTAAATTTGTAGTTGTGGCAAAAAAGAAGCTTCTTTTTAAAAATTCCATATTACTTGTGTTGTACTTGAAGAGCTACTTCATAAAATGTCAATCCAGTGTGGGTTGTAATAGAGTAACAACACTCCCATTGGTATAAACCTTCACTATGCTAGGTTAATGAAAGCCATAATGTGAAAATATAAATAATCCCCATATAATTCTCATTGCATTTTAGAATTCATTACGTGCCCTTTTAAATCTGGCTTGTCTTTTTAATTATCTGTTGCTTGTGTTAATAATAAAATTAATTTCTGAGTAACATATTGGTTGGGCAATTCTTGAGAACAGGAACCATATCTTATTCATTTTGAAACAACCAAAGCATTTAACCCATTGCTGTGCATATGGTAAGTACTAAATAAATTTTGAATGAATATACCCTTGGATGAATGAGGAAAAGATGTAGAAGATGTAGAAGACAAGCCTGACCAAGGCAATCAAAATAAAAAATCATCAATACTTTTTCATTTTAAATTATGAATATTTGATATTGGGTCCTACAAAGTAAAGAAAGGTAGAAATCATCCACTTTCTCAAGCTATCCCATGAGAATAAACTATTTCAACCTACAATGTAATTCAAACTTCCAAATGAGTATTTTGTGGTAGGTTATTATTATAATAAGTTGTTTAATAAGCTGTTTTATTTTGCTTTGCTTTTCCAGACTTAGGACTCTAAACAACACAGAAAAGGTCCTTACATATTCTTCTGCTCATTCATATGAATTGTCATTTTATTGAGACCACATTTTCCAACAAAAGTATAATTTATTTGATTGTACTTAAGGAAAGTCAGGGAGTAAGATTCAAAGGATTATAGAAGGATTGATGATCAACTATCCTTCTAAACTATTTGTGTACATGCTATATGTTGCAACCAAAGATGCAAAATAAATGAAAAATTTGCAAAGTAGGTGTACATTTCCTAACAAATCAAAAATAAAATTTTATAAAGATGCCTAATATTTATTTATTTTTATTTTAACAGTGCTGCCCTTTATAAAAAGCAAAGCAAATTTTAGTAACCAATGGTTTTCTACTGAAACAATATTTTCTTTTAACCATTCCCAAGTGAACTAAACATTATATTTCTGGTAAAAATGAATTTTTTAAAAAATTTTGAAGAGATCTTGTTAAAATATGTATTTTAGGTAAACATGTGTCCTTAGCATCCCATTACACATTAGCAGGAACAACTTGGAGCAGTTTATATCTCAGATCTGTAAAAGCATGAAAATAATATTGTGTGAATTGCTAACCTTGAGATCTCATGAACTCCAGTATCTTTCTGAAGACTCTATGCTTCTGAAAACATCTTTTCAGTCTGTTGATATCTCCTTATTTTTTCCTTAAAAAAGAAAACATGTCTCAATATGTCACATAAGGTTATATTTTCAAAAAGTAAAGCTAACTACATGGTATAAATATAATGTGACACAGGAAAATTAGAAATCCTAGAATATAAACAAAGCATTAAATATAGAACTAAATAATCACACTGTATATAATTTAGCAGAAAGAATATCCATCCTAGAAGAATACAGCAAATTCCTAATCAATAAACAAATATTACTATGCACAAGATGTTCAAGACATTCCATCTTATTAATCAGCATTACACTAGATTTCAATAGCTTTCTGGTTTTCAGGGGATTCATTATCTTCACGACACACAAAAATCCAGGAAAATCATCCAAAATGCCATAGCTATATAGTTGGTAGCAATCACAATGAATATTTATTATGTTTTTTGATTTGCTTAAAGGAAACTATTTAATAATAAAATTAACTCAAACATTTATATGTCCTGGTTTTAAGATACCTTAGCTTTAAGAAAATAATTTAGACAAATCATTCTTTAAAATAAACATGCTTTAAGAAAAATCTTATTTTTAAAATTACAGCACCATAATTCAAAATGATTAGTGCAATAATTTTAAAAGGTGATGAAATCCTCACAATTATTATACACTAATATTTTTCTCAAACTAAAATGTACATAATCACTTTCTCTAAAGAATTAATGAACTTTCCCTTCTAAAATATTGAAGTAAATCATTACATCATATACAAATGTAAAAGTTTTCCTTAAAGATGGGATAGAGAAGTTTGTGAAGGGTGGTTCATTTATTATTTTCACAATAGCCAGAAATGAACCATCATAGACCATGGCCAATGACAATAGGTAGTGTAGAAATACTATACATGAGTTACTTGAATGAAGAAATAGCCTGAGCAAACAACGTGGGCTGATGTTGTTCAGACAAGCTTAAAACACCAAAATCTTTAAGGAAATATAAAAGTTCTCGGGAACACTCTGTCTCTGGGAGCCTCTTTCTTCCTTTAACTTTATGTACATCTACATTATACATGGATTTAGAACAGACTAGAATATCTGTGGTACTCACTCACAAGTGTTATCAAATTATAGTTGCAATTATAGAGCTAACTAGAGGTTATTGAGTCCAGTTTGGTCCTGAGGAAGTCCAGATTCAGCAGAAGAATTTGAGAAATTTTGGAGAGATTGATCCAAAATTCAGGTTTTTTGTTTTTTTTTTTTTAGATTTTATTTATTCATTTGTGAGAGAGACAGAGAGAGAACAAGCAGGGGGAGAGGCAGAGGGAGAGGGAGAAGCAGACTCCCCTCTGAGCAGGGAGCCCCACGCGGAACTCGATCCCAGGACCCTGGGATCATGACCCAAGCCGAAGGCAGACGCCCAACCACCTGAGCCACCCAGGTGCCCCAAAATTCAGTTTTAAATATAATTTTAAATATCTTAAACTCTGTTGAGAACATTATACCCTCAAATGATGACATACTAAAGACCACTGAAACAATCTCTTGTATCACCTGTTGCACTCATTTTGAGGAATATTTCAGAATATAACTTTTTCTGTCTTCTCTGTTAATGACATATACATATCCGAAGATTGCAGGTCAAGCAATTAAAAACCAATAAGCCAGTATATTAACAGATCTCTCTACCTGCTTAACAAATCCACTGAATAAAGATTTTACAAATTATTTGCAATTAAAACAAAATACCAAAAATAAGTTAGATGCTGAGTTGAATATGTCTATAAATGTCATTCATAATCTCAACTCAAATTTTCTTGTTAATGAATTCCATATTATTTAAATGTCACTTTTACCTAGTGAGGTATTGTTTAAGATGTTATCCTAAAAATAAAAAGTTTTTACTGTTATTTTTAAAAATGGGGAAACTACTATCTAGTTCAGTCTCCCTATTTTATAAATATGAAAACTGCCATATATTTGACATGTAGCTAAATCTGAAGTAAGAGATGAAATATTTTTTGACTCCTGATTGTTAAAATTGGAATTGAAAACATAATTGTATTTTACAACCAAATAAATAAAAGACTTTTTATAGACATTGAGGGTAGTCTATTTACATACCTGCAATTATCCTGTAATTTAGAGGCCAAAGGACCCTTGGTAATGGAAAAAAGGAACCCAAACTCTGACCTGTTTGAAAGTCAAATACATAAACATATATTTGACGGACAGGGTTGACCCAAACTGAGGCCAGTCGAGCCCCTGGGAGGAGTCCATCACAAAGGAAAAATAATTCTGGAAGAACAAGTAATTTTCAATGCAAATTCCCAGGATTGGGCATCTGAGGATCATGCTAGTTCTGGGGCAATGTGCAGTAGTTATTGCTGAAAACCATTCTAATCCAGCAGCTTGGTTCTCTGGATGTGACTTGGGGACATGGGCTGTATGAGACTGTGAGCAAGTGTGTGTACACTTATTGAGAGAGAGAGAATTTGAAGAGTTGTGCTAAGATCAATGGATCAGTAAAACTCACTCTGAGACCCAGGCAACTTTGTAAAGGAATAATCTCTAGGTAATGTATCTCAGAAAGATCTAGGGGCTGTTATTCTTCCTCTGCAAACCTCTAGGCACAACAGTGGTGATGTACACAAGATTGGTGGGGACTGCCATTTTCCTGGAATCCAATGTCTATGAAGTAATCACGACCTAAGGTGCATACCCTTAGCATAGCCTGTTAAAGTTGTCCTTGAGTGGGATCTCAGTCCTATGGACGGCCTTAGCAGTGACAAGTGACATCGGGACTGATTTGTGGATAAATATAACCATCCTAGGCACTAAGTAAAATATTCAAGGAGAGCGAAATTTATGGAAGACTAGGAACATGTACACGAATGTATGTAATGTATACATGTACACACTAATGTAAATGTAACATCATTTGTCTTCATAAATTTTTGTGGTACTCATGTAAAGAATCCTGGTTTAGGATTATAAGTTCTATGAAAAGTAATATTGGCATAAACCTATGTTATCATTTAGGAATGTGCACCTAACATTCATGGCTCCTATCTGGTCTTTTCTAATATCTGGGATTCGATTAAGAAATTCCCTGAGACCCAGTTTTTCACTCTTAGAAATTTCTGCAGTCTTGCAGAGCTAGAGGGAATGGTGAATACCACCTCTCCTTGTGTCAGAACATTACTGACTGACTTCCTAGTTGCCCAGGGACATTACTGCAAACCATCCTACAAATCTCAGCAGCTGTTTGTAGTGGCAAGGGTAAAGGCACTCTCCCGTGTTTGTCAACGTTTTCTCTAAAGGGCACCTTTAGTAGGTCAGTAAGGCACAAAGCTCTTGTTGGCAGGTTTTAATCAATAGTCATGCTAGACTTCACTGAGGTTACTGAAGGCACATCTCAGCGGTAGCCTTGACTGAGCTATCAAATCAGCTTGTATTATTTTTAATGGATGATTCATTGATTAACTATAAGGAAATATAACTTGCTTAAGACATTCTTGTTGCTGTCTTTAAAAAAAAAAAACTCTTGCAAATGCCAAGATTTTGAGAATAAACTTGTTCCTCTCAGGATCACAGCATTTGAGATCCCCACGCTGACCATTTCTGCATGTCTGGAAGCCTGCTCCGTATCAGTTTCAGTATGTCAAAAGGAAATGTCACTTTGTGAACAGAAGTGAAGAAATGTGAATTTGCTGTTCCCTATTTCTAAGGTGATAACAAGACTTATAAGTTCAGTACAGTAGTTTAATTGCATTTGCAACTGCATCTTAAAATAGAGTATTGCATAATTAATATGCCTGCAACCAGCAAAAGCATCCTTCTCTCTGAAGGACAGCTTCCTGACAGAAACAAAGGGCCTAGGGCAAAAGAATCTAGCAGGAAAGACCAATCTGCCATGTAAAGTTTGATGCTATTTTTCTAAAAGAATAAAACCCCACTGACAGTCACATTGATTCTATTTAGAATTCTTTCTTAAGTAACAAGATCACTCTAATTTTGTAACTTCACACACATGTCGAAGTGCAGTTATCAAAATACACACAGCATCTACTCATTTACCAAACAACAAAAAATGAATTTCTGTGTCTTCCTAACATGTGTTGAACTATAATAAAGTAGTATCACATGAACAAAAAAGTTTTCTAAAATGATAGCACTTAGTCATTCCATTTCAGTAGAGTGGACAAGAGTTATTGAGACAAATTAAATCAGTCCTAATTAGGCTATTTATGTATCAGGTAGTCAGCATGGGATTCTTCCACTCAATCAGCTGTGCTCAAAAGTTTACACACATTTCTCTAGAATTGTTCAGATGGATCTCTATTTAACACATGGGAGAAAACATAACGATAATTATGGGAAATTTGCAAGAATTATAAGAATATCTAGGTGAAAATTTAGGTAAAAATTTTAAAACCTAAAGAATTATATAATTTTCTAGGAAATCTCCAACTAGTGAAATACCCAAGAAGAGGTACAAACTTGATAAAACAGATTAAAAGAGATTAAAAAGGTGTTACAGGCTCTGTGGTCACAGGGCACAAGCAGGTTACAGGGAAGCCTTAATGAACCTTTATAACAAAATGTTGCAATTGTTTAGAGCATACACTTGACCACCAAAAATGTTTCTCAACCTTTACACATTTTTCACTCCCCCCACTGGTGTTCACACTTCCCAATTTAGGGTCTGTTATTCAACATGGCAGACTATCTTTGCATATAGACTCACCTCCAGGAGTTTTCTCTTTCCTCTTCAGATCAGCAGGATTAAAAAAGACTATGGACTCTGAGAAACAAACTGAGGGTTCTAGAGGGGAGGGGGTGGGGGGATAGGTTAGCCTGATTATGGGTATTAAGGAGGGCACGTATTGAATGGAGCACTGGGTGTTATACGCAAACAATGAATCATGGAACACTACACCAAAAACTAATGATGTAATGTATGGTGATTAACATAACATAATAAAATTAAAAAAAAAAAGAGGAAAAAAAATCACTTGGTTAAATTCAGATCTCTTTCTACTGTGAAA